TTTTTTTTTTTTTTTTTTTTTCTTGTTCCAAAGGGTGTTACCTGGACGAGCAATTCAGCAGTGTTGCTGTCAACTATGGCTTCAGGTCAAGTCTGTTTTCTGTTGTCAGTGCAAGGTTAGTAGCACGTTAACAATTTTCTTGGAGAATGATTGAGGTTTTTGTTAGATATGAGGCTTCTGAACCATCAATGCAGCTGCATTTAACTGAGGTCGGGACACTGAAAAGTGAGCACCAGTATGTGAAGGTTGGGACAGTATTGCAGCAGAATGATGCATTGAGTACACTTGGTGGGAGAAATGAACAAATTTTTCAGTTGATTATGGCGGTCAGTCAGTCCCACATATATCGTTTTGAAGTTCAGCTATCTGTTACTTATTTGTTAGGTTGCGTTAGCACTTCCTGATGGAAAGAAAGCTCAGTTGTGTGAGTGTTTGTAAAGGAAATATTTTTTAATAAAATAGTGTCATATTTATTGACAAAATATGACTTGTTAAGTTTAATATTGTGAAATGAGGAACCTTTCTTCGACGCCTTAAATTAATATCAAAAAGTTTCTTGTGATCAAAGTTTTTTCTGCTTTGTTGAAGTAAACATTTAGTGGAACAGTGAATCTGAAATTTTTGGTCATGAAGAAAAGTAAATTGTTGATTATTGATAAAATTGTTTAGTTGAAGTGGTTGGTGTAAATAACCGTACATTTATCTGGTTTCCTAGATTTACTGATTTTTTGAGGAACTCTTTTGATGTAAATGAATTCCGTGAGGGATTTCTTTAAATTTATTTTCCAGGGTGTTAACAGGTATTATACTGGTTCATTGCTGATGAGAGGCCGTTTTGCCGTTTACATATTTTGGAAATTTATCTAAATGGAATGTCTTATAAAATTAATCTTTTTTTTTTTTTTTTTGAAATTTTGCTGATAGTTTAATTATTTGTAACCAGTTTTGCTTAAATTTTATACTTACGGAACCTGTTTACTTTTCGAGAGTGTTTCATTTAGAAAAGCTTATCGAATTTTTATTGAAACAAGTTTTTTTGTTGAGGTCGATTTTAAAGAAAAGCAATTTTAAATAGCAGTGGTTTAGTTTTTAGTTATTAAATTTGGTCAGGTTTAGTTGACCTACAATTTAGTTTCAAATCTCTTGATTGTCAGATAGCAGTAAGGCATCTAGAAACGATAATGAGGACAAATTTGTTCAGTTTAGTTTAGAATACAGTTACGTAATGATTTGTTAAATGATACGATCCGGATTCAAACCAGTTTGTTGAAGGTCGCAACAGAGCTCAGTTGTTTTAACTTTACCAACCTACTTTTCCATTTTTTTTCAATAATTACTCTTTTTATGCTGAACTTGTGTGGTTATTGGATTTCAAAATTTAGAGAGTCGGCAGACTAGACGAAACTGCTTTAGTTTATGTTCCTGTTTTTGGAAATTTGTTTTTGAGTGTGTGCATCAAGTGTTAAGGATGAATGATTGGTAAATGAGTATTAAGATAAATAAGTAGGAATTACTGGAAGATCACTTTTTGTGCGTACCGGTAAGCTGAGTTCGAGATTCTGCGTCAATCATGAGTGGAATGGAACTTTCACCAGTGCCGTTCAAAATTCTTGTGAGTTTTCGTTTATTTTCGAAATCACAACATCAGAGGGCTGAGCAGATGGCACCCTCAAAATATAAAGTTAATAATTCTATTTTATTTAAGATCAAATGGTTAAGAAGGTTTTGTAATGGTAATTAGTTTGTGGTGGGAAGTCCGGATATAGCTTGTTTTTTGGCTCGAACAACGTTGCACTTACCAGGTTACAGAACGAACTGTTTTTTACTAACAGTCAGCATGTTAACAGCGGGTAGTACAAATCACGAAACGTATATTTGGGAGACGTGAACTTTAATCAGTTTGTGGAATAGTATTATTAGCAGGTTTTTTGCCGCTTCTGCCTTTACAAAGTGGTTCTTGAAATTACCTTTTTGTGGTAACGCCTGAACTGTTTGTAATCCCAGTATTTGCAGTTAGGGGCTGTTTTTTTCTTTTTTTTTTTTTTTTATCACGGGCGACAAGGATTAATTGTTGGCTAAAGGTGTATGTCTCTATTAGCACTCTTACTCACATCGAAGGGACGCTCAACTGCCGGGTCAAATATAAAAAGACAGGTTGATGATTGTTTTCGTTATCATTGCGCTGCCGTTGTATATAACCTTCTTTTGATGAAGTTGCCAAGAATCACTGGTAGAGTTTCTTGGCTATTTATTTATTTTTTGATGAATTGTAGGTATGCATCAGTTTTAAATGGGGAATTAGAAATACTGAACTCATAATCTGAAATTGTTGTATAAATTTGATTTATCGATTGGATTTGAGTGCAGCGAAGAAGTTTTTCACTTATTTTTAGTGTTGGATTCGCGGAATTTCATTTCCTCGTTCTATTTTATTATTGTTTTTTGAGGACTGTTCAAAGCTTTTTTTTGCAGTACAGTGCCGAAGCAAATAGGATGATCTTTTGTCATTCCTTGATTGGAGAGAGGTGGCAGAAGACGCTCACACTTTTGCTTGCGGAGATATTTTGCGTAGGTTCTTAAAGCTAGTGAGGAATGTTGCTGTTGAGTTTAGTTAAATTTGAGAATTCTAGAGTAATTCGAGAGAGCGAGTTACTGTCAAATCAGGTTTTCTGCAGCTGTCTTGAATGAGTGTATTAGAGTTTGTGTGAGTAGGGAAACGTTAAAATGCTTCAAACGATTTGAAGGTTATGGAAATGAAATTATGTAAGGGGTTATTAGGGAATTTAAATTAAAGCAAGTGGAGCTGAATTATTTACATTTCTGTTCAATGCAGTAAAGGACGAAACACTCTGCGGACTCAAATTTCTTGATGGACGAAGCTGGTGAATTATCAGTTTTTATACTGTTCAGTTGTTCTTGTTTCATATTTTTTTCTATGAGCCACTGATGAAATGTTAAAGTTTGGATATTTGGGAACGAATAAATGTCAAAAAATTTTCGAATTTTTTTACAGTTTTAAATCAGCTCTTTAGCGGCATATAAAAAGCAATTCTTCAAGATGACAGGCTATCACTTTTAGGCGTGTAAATGTTCTGCGGAAGTTTTTAATGGTTGAGAAATCAGTTATTAATGTTTAAGTAAAAGGTCTCGTCTTCTGTAGTGATTATTGGTCAGCATGGCATGAGATACATTTTGTATGATCGAGTGGGTCGGTTGCAAGTTCAAGGAGAGTCCAAGAATTTAATTTTGAAGTGCATAGTGCTTTCTTCGTACATTGTCAATTCAGTCAGTATTGAGGAAATGTTTAATTTTTGGCGTAATGGTATCTGCTTAGGATGTTCTTTCTGTTAAAACTTGACTGATTTTCAGAAATATTAGCTAATGTTGAGTTGCGACCCTATCTGAGATGAACATTTGTGCTTTTTGCGCAGTCTATGGGTTTGCGTTGCTAAAAATTAAATGGACTTCATTAACTGGTCAAGCTGGATTTGCATTATGTATTTTAATGTTTGCATCTGCGTGTGATGCTCAATTTTTAGTGGATGTGGTAAGTCATTTAAAATAAAATTCACAGGAGTTTAAGTTTTCATAATGTAGTTTTGGGAAATCTTTATTGCTTTTAATTTTTTATTGTTTTAAAATTAAGTGTTTCAGCAATTAGTCAGGATGTATACATATATTGCAATTGAAACATTAACGAACTTAATTTGCTCAAAAACTTTTAGATGGAGGAGTCTTATGGGAGCTGGCGTCTTGTTCACAGATGCGAAGCAAGAGGTGCAAATTTTGGTGTTGATGTTCCTTCATTTAGTTATCGAAGTAATGCAACTGGATGTGTTACTCCTACATCTCCAGAGAATGCTTGTACGACAGTTTCGGTTGGTCGCTGTTTGTATTGCATTTTAAGATGGTTTTGCAATTTACTGAAGTGAATGCAGCTTAGAGCATTAAGCTTTCACTTCTGGATTTTTTTCAGTTTTTCAAGTTTCGGGGAATTTGGATTCAGAATGGTTCTAATTTGATTAAAATTGTTTTGCTGGCTCTTAAAGCAGTGGGGATTGGAGCAGTGTTTCATAATGGGTTTTTAAGAAATCTGTCTCATCTTTTCTTTTCAGGGATATCATTGGGAATCAAGTGTTTAAGACTTATTTGCAAAATTGAGTTTTTACAGTACTCTTGTGGCGCAGAGTCAGTGGAGTTTTTGAAGAAAATTTTGGGAGTAGAAGTTTTTTTAAATTTTTAGGTTAGCCGGTTTTTTTTTCGTGGGAAGGGAGGTTGAGTTGCGCGACTTAAAAGGTGAACCCTCGTTTATAGTTTCCAGTTCAGAACCATTGAAGGATGATGGTTATACTTAATAAATTAGGAATTGAAAACGGTTTTGTTACGCTGTAGTTGCGGTTTAAAATAAGTTTGAGGACTCATTTTTGAAGATGTGGCTTCTTTTGTAAATCATTTTATGAGTTTGTGATTTGTTAATTTGTAATGAGATGTTTGTTGTTTTTAGGAACCTATAAACGGCACTAGTTGCAAAGATTTTTATGCTTTGGTTCCTCGCGGAAACTGTGCGTTTTCTGTGAAGGTAAGAACAATGATGTGCTTTTTAATATTTCGAAAAATATCTCTATTTTTTCTTGTTTTAGGCGTATCAGGTACAATTGGCAGAATTTGGAGCACTGATTGTTTATAGCAATCGTGGGGACCAGCCGATACCAATGGATGGTAGTACTTTTAAAGAATTAATAAAAATTCCCGTAGTAATGGTCAGTTATAACTGTAAGGACCGAATTATGGAATCGTATCGTTTCGAGAAGGGGTAATTTTTTCGTTGTTGAAAAAGCAAGTTTTTTACAGAGTCTGTGACGATGCGATGAATTTGTTTTATTTTTAAAGTATTTAATGGGAGTTCATGAGATGGATTTTATAAGTTTAACGTTGTCTTTCCTTTTGACTCTCGTAAGTGGATTGTGTTTTATCTTTTTCAACAAATATTCTGTCAGTTATGGTTTTCAGATACAGAGTAGCAATTCGAGCAATACCGGGCTACTATGATCTTGTCAAATACCTTGTCCCTTTCGTTGGTGTCGTTGCTTTATGCTTTATCGTACTTTTCCTTTCTTTGGTAAGGACCTTGTTATTGGTTGAAGTTTCTTAGTTTTTTTTTCCATGTTTTTACTTTATTGTTTCGAATATTTCAATTTCAGTTATTTCGGGTATTTCGCGAGCGTCGTCGTATTGCAAGAAAGCGACTCTCAAAAAGAAATTTGAAAAAGTTACCGACGAAGAAGTTTAAAAAAGGTTTTATTTTGGTACTCTGTTTTCGCTGAAACATGCAGCACTGTGTTAATTTTTCTTTCAATAATGCAGTCAGCCGTGGTTTGAAGTTGCTCATTCACATTGTGTTATTATTTTGTTTTCTTTGTCACCAAAAAGCTAATCTTTTACTCTATTTCTTCCTCTGTCACTTTTCCTCGCCTTTGAAGCGCCTAAAAATTTTGTTCTTGTTTCTACGTTGTCTTGCACAGTGTTTATAATGTTCATCTGTCTTTGATATTCTAAATGTTAATTTTTCCTAATGAGGAATGTCATTTTTTATAGGTGAAAGCGTTGAGACGTGCGCAATTTGCTTGGATGATTTTGCTGAGGGAGAGAAACTACGGATCTTACCTTGCAATCACAGTTAATAATTTATTTTTACTCTTTCTGTCAAATATTCTTCTATGCTTCTCAGTTGCATCATTTTCTGGTTTTGTTTGTTTAGTTTATCACTGTAAATGTATTGATCCGTGGCTGACAAAGAATCGAAAAGTTTGCCCGATTTGCAAAAGAAAAGTTTGTTCTTCTGGGGATTCGGACTCTTCAGATTCAGAAGCCGAAAGGGGTAATGCTGCTAGTGCTAGCACTTCGAATACTCATGAAAACGCGCCTTTAATTGCTAACGAAATGACGGTTTGTTCATTTGTCTTTTCCGTTGTTTTTTGCAGGTCGAGACTTATAAACCTCTAAAAGATTCCTTTCTTTGCCCTTCTTCCTTTTTTTAGTTCGCTTCTGCATCTATGGAACCGTCAAATTATTTGGATGATGGAGGGAATTTTGTAGTTAACGTTGTAGGGAGTGACAATAATCAAGGTTTTTTTTTTCACTTGAAATTTTTGAATATTATCATCTTTTTTTAAGCAGTGTTTTTCTTTTACTGTCTCTGATTACAACAGTTTAAAGCAAGTACCAGCTATGATGCACCGCCGGCTCCTGGAGTCTCGCCTACTGTTAACGAGAACAGCGAGCGCGTCGGTGACTTGCTGTATGCCGACACAGTAGCTGCGTCTGAAGGAGCAGATGTGCAACGGAGTTCTTTTAACGTTTCAGCAGTTCTTCGACAAAAGTTCCGTCCATTAATGCAGGGTATAGTGGATAAAGCAAGTAGAGTTGTTCGAAAAGACCAAAAATTATTAGGCGATGTTTCTCAGGTTTGTTAACAGGTATCAGTGGCAAAATAGGAATTTTTCAGTCATAACGTATTTCAATAATCTTCTAATTTTTTCATTAATTTAGCTCGATATTGGTGGTATTGATGCGACGGAAAGGTTTTCTGCAGAAAACGAGGCTTTTGACGGGGGTTTGGAAAGTCATAATAACAGACGGGTGAGTTTTGAGTGTTACTGTATACATTAACAAATAACCAAATAAATAAATAATTAGGTACATATGTATGGAATTATTTCGCTGTTGTTTTGCGTTGTTTTTTACAGATTTGCAGTTGACATTCTTTATGTTCTTGTTTTTTCAGATCGTAGTGTTGGTTTTAAGAAGTAGTTAATTTTCAATGAAGAGCAGTGATAAAGCATTGATATATTTTTTATTTAAAGGATTTTTATAAAATATTTTGGGGAAATTGTTTTTTTTTAACATTTTTTTTACGTACTGTTGTTTTTTTAGGTATCTTTATCTGCACATGGCGATACGGGTAGTGTACATACTTCGTCAACAGTAGTTGAAATTGAAAGTAACGATGAAAGTTCATATTTTTCTGCAAATGACCAGTCGCTTTCGCTTGAAGTGAAAAAGGACTGCACTGATTCTGAAGAAGGCACTTTAAAGGTAGTGTCAATAAACATTTTTTAACCTCTCCACCGCTCCGCAAGTTAGAACTTTGGATTGTTTTTTACTTGTTTTCTCAAGAAAGACTTTTAGGCAGAAAATGGTTTAGCAGAAGGAACTGCTTCTACGGCTTTGTTCTTGGAGAAGGTTGACTTTGAAAAAAGGTATTTAGTTTTTTTACGCTTAATTTACAGTCATTGGCTTTCAGGTTTTAAATACGGGTTCTAAAGAATTAAGTAATATTTCAGTTTTTAAAAGATTATTTCTGATCTAAAAAAGCCATCTTGCGTTCAGTAATACTTTCCTGTACTTCAAGTTTTATTTTTTCTGGTTTGCAGACTTTGGTAGCACTTTTTCTACTTGAAACTAAAGACACATCTCAAATGATCTGTTTTTTTTGGATTTTTGAAACTAGTGTGTTTTTATTGAATGATTTTGTAGGAAGGAGGAGGAACATCTAGATTAAAATGTGTTAAGCGGAGGAAGCGGCAAAAAGTATGCAGGTGATTTTAATTTTTCTAGCACTTAGTCACTGCTTATTATGATGATATTTTTATGGAACTTTGGGTTTTATAATCGTTATAGTTGCTGTCGAATTACAAATTGAAAATTGTTATGACAACGGTGGTTGACTTGATGGATTGTTGGTTTTTACGTTCGCTAAGCTTTGTTTTATTCTCTTGCCTGGAGTTTTGTTACCGTTTATTATATGGTTTTTTAGAGCTTACGAATACAAATGCTAATATTGTCTTGTGAGTCTCCATTAGTTTTGCTCCTGGTTGTCCTTTTTGCAGAATTGCTAATTTGGTTATTTCGGCCTTAAGCTTCCTCTCTTTCAATAATTTAAATCTTTTTTGCTTCAGCGTGATTATTTCTCTGGATCGGTGGTTTAGAACCAACATCTTATTTCTTTGTCTGAACCTTTCCTAATTGATTTGTTTTCGGTGGACGCATTTTGAAATTTCTTTGAAAAATGATAATGAGTTTGGCTAAGAAATAAGCCCTCGAACTTGGTAATTTTTATTGATGTGAAATACTGCTTAAGCAGTTGTTCCAAGTCCAGCATTTCACGTTTTTATGGTTTATCTATCACGCGTTTAAGCGCTTTGAGCGGTTTTGTGGCGTCACTTACTTATAAATTTAATATTAAAAAACCCTGATTGTGTTTGGTGTTGTCTTTCATAGGCCTACCCGAGTGTTGCGCGACGATGTATCCAACGGTCTTCTATAACCTCATGTATTCTCTTTCGATTGTTGGTAGTTTTTATTTCTTTTTTTTTCTTCGTATTTTTCCCTTGCTGCACGAACCTTGTTGTACTGTACATTCGCGTTGTTCATTGATGCCTTAGTCATTTATATAGCTCAATGTTTTGCTGGCCGTTATTCGATTTATAGAAATAAAAGCACGTATTTCTGAGGAAAGATAGGCGTCTATGGAAAAACTTTTGCACAGGCCTTTTCTGGGACAATTGGTGTTTTGAATGCAACTTAACAGTTTAATTTCAATTTTAGGATCCTCTTGTGAATAGCCTGCAAGTGCGTGTTGCTTTGTTGTTGCTCTCTGGCGTTGCTGTGGCAAACTTTCCTTGTTCGGATAGCGGTTTTCCCAAGCAGCCTGCATGAGATTAATACTTTTTGATCGGGAGCAGCAACTGAGGGTACAAGAAGGGGGAAGAAAGGAGAACAACGGTGTAGTTCATGCTCTTGCAGCTTTTTATTTTTTTTATTTTGATATGAGCTTCTTTTCTAATTTGAAAATTTTACGGTGCTTATAAGAATCGTGCTGGAAATCGCCAGTGTTGGTTTTGATGTTGGGCAATCTAGGCCGCTTAATAGGTGAGGTTTCACTGGAAAAGGATTTGGTTATCATATTTAGTTTTGTCGACATCTTTGCATTTAATGACCAAGAAGGAGACGTGGGAAGCCATTGGGATTGTAAAATTATTTGCCAGAGTATTAATTTTGAAGTTTTCAGTCGAGTTATGTCCTTCTCTTTGTCCATCTCTTTGCAAGTCATTTTTGTTGCAGTACGCGACTTGCATGACGGTACTAGTTGACTTTTCTAACAGAAAATAAAGTGCTTGTTTATATTGCTATTATGCGAAACTAGCTGACATACATCTGTGGAGGCGATGAGATAGGTCGTCTGTACTAATGAAAAGTTTTTCACTGTCTACTTCGTAATTAGTCTTGAATGACTCCTACCAGTTCAACTCAGTTTTTCATCTTTAAACACAAACAGCTAAAAATGGGATTTTAATGTGTTTCATCGTCAGTATTAAAAGTCTTCTCCGTCAAGCGCATAAATTGCACGATTTTTCTCCAAAGTATATTTCTGGGACGTAATGGAGCTTCTAAATTTTGATCTTTTCTAGGTAGCTTCATGTAAAGGTTACATGATGCCTTGATACACTTGCAAGTAGTAGGTCATTTATAGCGACGATAAGGGACCTTTAGGAAATGTAGCGAATTACTTGACAGACCAGACGTCGAAATATTTTCTGGGGAAAGTTTTACGAGCAACGCCGTTGTGAAGACACTTGAGAGGAACGTAAATTGAGATTTGTTGCTGGCTTCCTGACAGTAGGACTGTGTAAATTTTGTTTGTGACATTTACCCTAATCTGGACTGTGCTTTTCAAGTACTGATTTGTTATAGGTATCTTAAATTGTTCGAAATTGGATTTCAAAACAAGCAGTCTGGCGGTGAACTTTGGAAGAATCCAGTAAGACAATATCTGATTTTAGAGTTTGTTACATTATAGGATGCATCATGATTTACATTCCATCGTGTGACAGTTTTGTTTACTGTTCTCGAACGTATTACTGCTTCATCTCAATGCTGAAAATAACATTTGTAAGACCAGTGAAAAGTAATGGTTGCAACTGTTTCTTCTGGCCTTATCTGACTCTGTAAACTACCTCGTGTTTCTTAGTTGCTTCCTATTATGTCTTGTTGTCCTCATTTTAGCGGGGATTTGTTCTGATTAATGTCGGTTCAATTCTTAGTAATAATTTTTGTAACAAGTTACCGTTCTCCAACCATCATTAAATTTTAAAACTACTGTTTTGGTCTAGTGAAAGGGAAGAACTCTTGTTAAGTTCACCGGAAGAAACGAGGAAATTTGTTTCACCAGCTAATAACCAACCGGCAAGAATAATGGCACTGGTATTATTAATTCAACTATTATGGAATTATTCTTTTAGGTCTTGGTTATCATTGAAATTGTTTACTTTTTCTCCTGAGTGTTGGCGTTTGATGACTAGGACGAAATAGCTGGTATTGTGGAGCAGCTTTGACACCTCATCGTCCATGATTTTTCTTTTTGACCGTTTCTTCATATAGTTCTTATTTTTGTTGTATAAAGGGTTCTTTAAACAGTTAGGAAATCATGATTTGTGCTGAGAATATTGGCAGCCAGAAAGTGTTTTTTTAGCTAAGAAGTATAGTCGGTATTTTTAATCACTTAAATTTCTTTATTTGTATGTTGTGCTGAATTGCAGAATATTTGATGGGGGTAGTTTGGGGAAGTAAATGGAAGGTTAGAAGAGCACAGTGGGTCTTCCTTTTAGAAAAGAAAATGATCAACATGCTGGTATTGCAATCTGAACTAAATATGGTTTTTTTGTGTTTGATGTACTTGAGTGGAGAAGTTAAAATTTATAGTCTTTATTGATTCAGTTGACCTACAACGAAAAAAAATTGATTTGTAGTTTGGGTAAAAGAAATGGAAGATTTAAATGGATAACGGGAGACTGAGAGTTTAACTTTAGGGCTCATCCTTGGCATTGCGGTCACTTTGTCTTGATCGGGGGTAAATTTTTAATTTACTGTTTCTTTGAACCCAGTTTTTCGATGCTTTCTCTGAGCATTGATAGGTTACAACCCAGAGTTTAGCTTGTGTTTTGAAATATTTCTTATTTTAAGTCGTCAGTATAGCTCTGTGGGGATTTCAAGCTGTTAAAAGGCTTTATACAAGTACCGCTGAATTAAGAACTCGTGGTAATAATGAAGATGCTTTTAACGATGGGAGGCTAAAATTGTGCGAAAACAGTTCTGGTTTTTTTTTTTTTGTGTTCCGATGCTAACCCGTAAAGTAACTAAGAAGCCGGAAGATTACGCATCATCTTTGAATTCATTTATCATTATACCTTCAAAAAGAAGAAGGAGTTGCTACTGAAAGCAGATTTTCAAATCTACCGAGAAAGTGAAACTGATAATGTCAGCTTACTGTCATATTTTGCAGTGAAAAAATAGCCCTTTATAATGCTTAGCTAAAAAAGGTCCTGTAACACACTTAAAACGAAGGGGATGAGTGGCAAGCTTTTTAATTGGGCAAAACTTAGAACAAGCTTAGCAGTAGAAATACGAGCTTTTGGAGTGGGATGAAGCAGCAGAATTGGTAAAAAGCAGTGGTGATGAAGTCAGTGCTAAATGATCACCGATGAGTAACCATTCTAGGAAAGTACGCCTTAATATGAAGCAATTTTTCGTTTGTCCTTTAGTGTCCTGTCGTCAGGTCATATTCCTTCTCGCATGAAAAAAGCAGGTTTTTTAATTTGATCTCTGCCATATTTCGAGAACTGATTGTGATGATCGTTCATTTTGCGTTTTACTCCAGCTAGTTTTATAAATAAATTGGATAGCATTTTAGTTTCTCACATCTCATTTTTTTTTTCAGTTTTTTTCGTTATTCATTTTGCATTGTTTATGAGGTGTGTGTGTTAAACAGGTATCTTTGGGAACTGACGATATACTGGTTACGCACTTTGCTGCAGGGATATATGTTAAATAGGTTTTAGCTGCGCTTAATCGTCACATTTTAATCACCTGTGAAATTGTACGGGTCATATTTCTCTGTCTGTGCGGATTTTTAAAATTTGCGGCATTTATTTGCTAAATTCAAAAGAAGACGAACACAGTTGTGCCGTTCAGTAATTAAGGGAAGTTCCTTGAGAAACAGCGGAAAAACCTTATAATTGCCACACTTCCACATTACTGTTACGATTCATTCATTAGTGGTACTGCTATTCACAAATTTGTGGAGATTTTTTAGAATACAACTTTTTTTACTGTTTACGCTACTGCGATACAGCAGTGGTTTTATACGGGTGGTTTGTCTCTGTGTTTTATATACAATAGATAATCTGCCAGAATGGATAGATTAGGGAGAAAAAAGAGTGGTGTAGGACAGAGATGAGGGCTTTGCAATATGCAGTTGCGGGTAATGGGGTTGATTTAAGAACGTGTAATACTGTGTGCAAACTCAGAAATGTGTACAGTCACAATCATAGCTTTAATGGCAGAATCAGTGGTGAAATCTTGTTACTTGATTCTGAAAATTTTAACGGATCACTGGGATCAGTTTCAGGAATTTAAACGAACGTATCATTGGGACTGCAGTATTGAGATGGTGAGAAAACAAGAACTGATCAGCGCTGGTGATTAGCTATTCTTGAACAAGTG